GACCATACACTTCACGATGGCAGAGGATGAAAACTACCAGCTAGCCTTCCTTGATGTCCCCGTCTCCCGCAAAGGTTACAGTGACCTAACAACTAAAGTTTTCAACAAAATGACTAATACGAGTAAGCCGTACAGGCAACCAACTAATCATCCACTAGCGCATAAGTGTGGTTTACCAGCCTTCCGAAGCACATTAAAGTGAACCAGAAGACTATGTTGCCGAAGTCCCATACCTTCGACGGATCCTTGGTGCGAAGGGAGACCTGCGCGCCCTTGTCGGCCGGCGAATGTATAGGCGCCACGGGAGACAATTTTAAACCGGTTGTTAATCTTTGTGAGTGCTAACGAGTCTGAAGAAAGTTCCGGAAACCGGTAGCCGCCTTCGCACACTTGTCGGAGTTGGAGTAACGCACGGACTGGACGCAACTGTCGAGCACTAGCGGAGGTGGTCGAAAGACGACAGAAAGCCTCTGGAGCAGTTTACTGGGCCTACTACAGTTTTGCACAAAGAAAATACGCCAGAAGCACTGGGGAATAACTCTGAACGCGAATGTTAGAACATGCTGGCTGAAATCATTGCAAGAGTTGACATGTGCGTTAGCCACGAACTGTTTAATGCACCGTTCTTCGACTCGCATTCTATTAAAAAGAGCAATGCCATCTAACTTTCATATACTGTGCCAATATTTTGACTTGGACAAAATCATATGCCAAACAGGGAGAGCATGGATGCTTAGCTGCCACGGTGACGGCAAGGCAAACTGTCGAGTAATCGTTCCGCCCCGAAAAAAACAGCGCTGATGAAATTAGGGCCATTAATTACTCAGGTACGTTTGACAAGCAATCTTCGCATTAATTACGCGAAACCCAGCGATGAACGCGGGGGCTGTTAATTATTGTGGGTGTGTGGGGACTGGGCGTGCTCCTACTGTCGCTATTACCTACTTCTACAACTACCTCCGATGGTAGATTTGAGTGAGAAGACAAATGTCGGACCAATCAACTTCCTGTTCTGGCGATCGCAAATTCTTCTGCGTTGTCAATGAATCATATGTTTTATTAAGTGTGCTTTCGGTTAGTGGCTAGCAGCACACAAATATCTTCGTGCTCCAGAGCCTTAATTACCTTGTGTTCAAATATATTTTAGGGGCAAAACAGTTTTTCTTTACCTGAAGAGGAATGCACGTTTATAAGTTTTTTCTTCTATATACTGTGTTTACCGATTAATTTGTTTTGCTTTAAAAAACATGTTTATCCAAAATATGTCTGGCGGATAAAACGTAACCAAAATTTGCAACCAAGTGTTCAAAATGTCCATCAATTTTCAAGAACGCAGACTGATTCTTTCGAGGAGGAAACGTTACCTAAAGACATTTTTTCATGTATAACCGAATGAGTATCAAGAGAACAGCAGATTTAAAAATTTAATTCAAAGAAGTTGTAAGGTGGCTAGACCACATCTGTGTATTTGATTTTTCGAGAAAGGCGGAGATATTATAAAAACTACATAACAGAATCAAGCAAATATTTTGGATTTCCCGTATTTTACTATTTCAATCTATGGAATTTTGGAAATGTGGTCAGTGCTCTTGCTGCTTATGTGACGGCAAGTTCAATTTTCGCTTATGTTCGTGCGGATTATATAACGCATCAAATTATCTCCGTAATTGAGCATGAAATGTTAGGTGTTTAGGACACAAAATCGATTAAACGTATTTTGTCCACCCTTGGAAAGGCTGGTCATGTGGGTAAGTCATTTGAGGTTGTAATGAATAATCATCTAATGAACTAGACTCACTGTAATCAAGGAACTGACTTTCTGGAGGCCACTGGAATCTTTAAAACAGTCTATTCTTAGCAGAATTACATTCTAAAATAGTTTGATCCTTTACATTTCGCGTCCTCAGGCCTCCCAAAAAATGCGAAACAAGGAAGACGGGACGATATGAACTAATTGTCGGACCTCCTCCCTTCCTCTGCCACCCTTTTCCTTCTCTGATCCCAAATTAAGACTAGAATCTGAACCCTCTGATCCCTTAACACCTCTCCTCCCTTTCCCCCCTACTGCTTGGTTGCTTAAAATTTGTTAACTCTGTCCTCCCCTACATTATTGTATTTGCCTGATGATGAATTAATAGAAAGCGTTCGTTCGCCCAATTTGATTTCCTATTCCGAAAAGGACAACAGTTGAATGATGTTTTAAACCCACTGCACCAGGAGGACTGTTCAATAACTGTTAAATCCTGGTCTTTCGTTGATAAATCAGTCAAATGAACTGGTATGATTAAAGTTAGCAACTTGTACAAGGATATTAAGAAGGGAAAACATGCATTTGCTGTTATAATTATTAACGGAAACAATGTTAGAACGGGCGAATTAATAAGAGATTTAGGATTAATTTGATTTTGCAGGTAGTGTGCTATTTTTATCAAAGTAAACCGGTCTTTTTGGTGTCCACGTGTATTAGTAAACATAGGAGCAATGTCTCATTTCTATGCTAGAATAAAATACAATTTCATTGAGATAGAATAAAATGACTACATTTTTAAGGCATGGGAGAGACCATCTTTGCCACAACATGAAAATGGAGACAAATAAATGAAAGGTTAAGTAGCTCGACCAGCCCTATAAAATTCTGGTAAATTTTGGGCATTAAACTATTTGAAGATGAACTAGGCTATTTGAAACATCAGCAACCGATCAGATCAGTTTTGCTGAGTAATTGCAGTTTCTCAGGTACTACACATCATTGAAGAACTCTCCGTGTATGCGAATGTTCGTGAAACTTTTTTTCAGCAGTAAGTATTTGCTATATTAATAAGAGGATAATTATAACAATCACACTCTCTCCTTAACGGTACACGCTAAAAGTCGCTTTCCTATATCAGTAGGTGTGGAGATTTGCCTACAGATGTAACCAATACAAACGGGTTTTTGTGCTTATGCAAATAGTCATCTTTTAAGCATAAGTAACCTGCAGTTTTTCGACATTAATGGGGGTATTTTTTCTGCATATGATGTGCAGAAAACCAGGTAGACAAGTAATTCAAGACACCATTTTCGTTATTCGCATTATTTTAAATTTTCAGGTTTTTTGCCCTTTGTACTAACTCCGACCATTGAAACATGACTTGTTCGCCCGAAATTCAAAATTACATGGTCATGTTGTTTCTACTTTTAGGCCAGGTGTTGGTAGCAGATTGCATTTTGCATCTAGAACATAGGTATCATGACACGGCTTAAAGATGTGTTAGCAATCGTTTCTTAATATTGAAAAGGGAAATTTCGGTAAATATTTGGGCGTGTTCGTGTCTGCAGGTTTGGTTAATTGCAGATGTCTTAGATGTTGTTTTCTCTTAATTACCTCTAAATAACATAACAATTCAATTCGGCAAAAGAAGTTCTTTGGTGAAATGTTTTTTATTCAGTGAGTTTTCGACACTGGCTCACCAGATCGTCATCAGACGGATGGAATCATACGAAATGATTCCCATCCGTCTGATGATGACCTGGTGAGCCAGTGTCGAAAATTCACTCAATAAAAAACATTTTCCCACAGAACTTCTTCTGCTGAATTATACTTCTTGGGATGCCGACTTTCCAGTTCATAACAATTCAAGTTTGATAATATACGCCCTATTTTAGGTGCGTAGTACTAACTTGTACAAACACTTGTAGTCGACTGTCCCCAATGTCACTGCTGACGTGGTCAGATGTTTACCATATTTCAAAGCATCTCTGATCGCTAGTGACCAGTATGATTGAAGGCTTTGGGAGGAAAACATCTCAAAGATATTTTCCAAAATGGCTTACCCACACAAAAATATTTATAACGTAACAAATGAAGGCGAAAATTAGAAG